CAACGGTTTGCTAACAACACTAACGAATATACTAAATAGACTAATTAACCCATACCAATAACCAAAACAAACTTAACCCTAGGCAACTTATTCCAACCACAGAATTGTCTCAATCCATATACAAACAACTTCAAACTTATAAATAACCCCACCACTTTCTCTACCCTTCATTTTCCTCAAAGTCATAGTCCCAACTTCGGTCGACCACCATGCCCACCCATTTGCCTCTGACCATGCTATCAACTCAACTAATGACGCAACCCACTATCCCCCCACCCCCAACTCCAAGTGCCTACCCCAACCCTACTTTGTTGCCAACACCTAATGAAAACCACCCCTTCCCAACTTCTTCTCTTACGCCTCATCTCTCTCGTGATCTTCACACACGTGCGCCCACACACATACACACAAAGAGTTGTCCACACACACAAGTAACTCGCATTCTCTTTTGCATCATCTCTTATTTTTGTCTTGTCACACACACACACACACGGACACAGTTTCAGGTAATCAAATTTATTGAACTAAAATTGAAGACAACAATTATCCACTTGAATTTGAAGGTTTATGTCATTGCTACTTGTGTATAACAGTGATGCTGCTGTCAATTTAGGGGGTTGATGTTGTGTTTTTGATTAGTGGGTTGAGGTTGTAGCTAATGTTTACTAGTAGTTATTGGTGTGGTGATCTGGTAGGTGGGGTGGGGCAGTGATGTTGAGTGATTGAGGTAATGTAGTGGTGATTCTATGGTTGTGCGGGAGGGAGGGAGTCGGTGTTGTGGGACTAGCAAGTGTTAGAGGTTCATTGGGTTGTTTTCAATGGGTTTGATTCTTTGGTTTTAATTGATGGGGTCCTAGAGAGTGTGGTCAGTCTGGGTATTAGAGTTCAAAGCATCTTAATTTTTTGCCATTCTTTGGCACGATAAAAAAGGAAATCAAAAGAATGAGCCAAAATCGAATAAGCAAGGCCAAAGCCAAATGCCAACCTAAGAAGGGACGTTTGCAGGATACTAGATGCTAAGCAGCTAGGAAGACATGTAAAAAATGAGAGTTGTTGGAACTAGCATATTGGAAAATCAAATGGCCAAAATAACTATACTACACCAATTTGTTGTGTATGAATAATGAGATTTCATTGATACATCCATGCATGCCCCGGGGATCATATGCAGTTTCCTTGCTCTATTTGTTCAAGCAAGTGCTTGCAAGCGGCTAGGACGTACATCGTACATGATGTCGCTCACTTTCTCATATGCTTGCAGTTGGGTTGCGACATCCGCTGACAAGGCGGCCGAAAACGCACTTTCACATCTTCTGAACGCGAAATGGCTAGGGAGAGGAAATGTTCGTTTTATAAAACCACTTAACAATTCAACATTTGGGTGGGGGTTGGCAAGGTGGGAGAGGTTAACTGTTGAGGCTATAGCAAGGTTGAAGAACGAGGTATTTTCTAATAAATTAATAGAATTCATGGGGCATTTGAGGAACACACACAAATTTTGGGTTTTTGATAAGTTAGTGATGGTTATTTAGGAGTAGTTTAGAGATTTTATGATGAAAGTATCCTCATGACATTAAGATTAATTTAGACAAACTTTAACATCAAGAGGTTTTATGTTATGACATCAAATCTCAAAGGGTGATGATGTTATTTTTTATACCTAACGATATATGTGTATCAGCGATAAACCTCAAAAAAAATTAATTGTAATTTACCTACGAAAATATTAATTATAAGAATGATATTATGTTATTATTGTCGTGATCACTTGTTGGTATCTTAAATTTATTTGTCATTCATATGTTACTAAATGATAATAATATGTTACATTAATAATTGTTTTCATTATTTATCGAAAAAATATTACATAATTCAAATAAAATGTAAAAATTTAAATTTAAATGTATATATTTTTTGAACGAGTGAGATGGATAAGTCGCGACAACTGTTTTTAGTTTTATTTAAATTTTGTACTGTAGATGGGTGCCTGACACGGAACGAATCCCGACACAGTCCCGAAAAGCCAAAAAAAAAACACAGCATAATCCCAGGTTCCCTCTCTCTCTCTCTCTCTCTCTCTCTACCCCCCTCCCCCCTCGGCCCAAAATTGAAACATCTGATTGAAGTAATCTCAATCTTTTGCCGAACATTCTTCCCAAAATCCTGATTCAATGTGATACTTCCACAATCGTCCGAATCAAATCTAAAAACAAACTATGATGTCGCAGTAGATATTCGAACTGCACATCAATTCTCACGTTTCAGGTGTCTGGTAACAAGTAAAAGGAGAGAGAGAGAGAGAGCGGGAGGGGTGCGTCGATAGATATAGAGAGATTGAAAAACAGGGAAATGCCAAGCGTAGCTGTAAAATTATATAGTGTGTTCTTCAAATTCCTTCTCAAACACCGGTTGCAGAACCGAATCCAAAACCCTTTGGATCAAAATAACATTAACTCTTTCGGCGTCACGTCACGGGCTGATGAGTCAATCGCGGCCGCCAACCCTTCATTCACCGACGGCGTCGCCACCAAGGACATCCACATCGACCCCTTAACCTGTCTCTCCCTCCGAATTTTTCTCCCTGACACGTGTTTCGTCTCTTCTGATTCCGATTCTAAGTCCCAGTCTAGAGCTAGGGTTAGGGCTGTGAGTAAAAACTCCAATACCGAAATTGGATCAGATCCCAATCTGAATCTGAATCTGAATCGCAGCCCTGCTCGGCGAAACAGCTATGGATCTTCTAATGATAATGACGTCTTTACACGTAATGAGAATCAAAGAAGGAATAGTTATGGTTTTGTTGGGGATGATTCGAGTTTGAAACCGTCAGAGAGTGCGGGTTATAGAGGCTATGCACCGATGAACAATAATTGCCGAAAATTACCAGTGTTGTTGCAATTCCACGGGGGAGGGTTTGTGAGTGGTAGCAACGATTCGGTGGCAAATGATTTTTTCTGTCGAAGGATTGCCAAATTGTGTGATGTGATTGTGTTGTCCGTTGGGTATAGGCTTGCGCCAGAGAATCGGTACCCAGCGGCATTTGAGGATGGGCTGAAGGTGCTGCATTGGCTGGCAAAGCAGGCGAATTTGGCGGAATGTAGTAAGTCGTTGGGGAGTACAAGGGGTGGTGGCACGGATTTGAGGAAGAATGATGTTAATAGACATATTGCAGATGCTTTCGGAGCATCTATGGTGGAGCCTTGGTTGGCTGCTCATGGAGATCCATCCAGGTTAGATTGTTCATTCCATTGTCTCGGTGATAATCTTGCTTTGCTTGTAAGTGGTAAAGAAACTTGTAGCGTAGTTCAATTCAGTTGGGGGGAACTTAACTAATAAGATGGTAACATATCAAACTGAACTGATTGCAGATGTTGCTTCTATGATTAATTGCTTAGAATGTTGAGTATGTGTGCAAATGATAGAATTAGTTATGATAGTGGAAATTCAGGTTCTCAAGTGACTTCATTTTTTAATGCACATCGTTTTTTTTTTGATAAGCAAAAAAGGGCTGGAGCAAACGAGAGCGCACAGAGACCACCCGATAGGCCGTTCCTGGTGGATCATGAGGTTTCTAAGCGTGTCCGTTACTCCTTTTAAAAACGAACATAGACTAACATAGCAGTTAACTATCGAGTTTCAATGTGGACTTTAAGACTCGAATTTCAGTGTGAGAAGTTCGGCCAAGAACCCACGAGACCACCCCACTCGGCGGTAATGCACACCATTTATCTTGCTCAAGTTCAAGTTAGGATATCTAGAAATCATTTCAGACCGACTAATTACTCATGCTTAAGCTTTTAACCCGTCTATGTTAGTCTTTAACTTTTAGCATCTAAGTGGACACTGACCAAATGCTGACAATATTTCATCATGACGTATGTTAAAACAGCTAGAACACAATGCTTGCCATGTGCGCACTAACTAGAACCTTTGGGAATACTGTTTTTATTGAGACGCTTTCTTCTTGCTATTCTATCATGTGAACATTCTTAATATATGTTGGTGCATTTATGCATTTGCTACTAAAAGTTGTAAGATATCATGGTGCCATTTCTCAATTTAAAGGCATAACGAGCTGCTTTGTCTTGCATTGCCAATTGTGACATTTTGGGCTGATACACGATAGAACTTCACATTGAAGCATCATTGGTGTCCGTTTGACAACACTCTAGATGGGCTTCTAAGGCTTAGAAGACCAAGTAGAAACATTATGAGTGTTTTGCGAGTCATTTTAATTGGGCTTCTATTGGATGGTCAGTTTTCAGAAAGTCCATCCCACGGGATTAAATAGAACTAGGGTTTATGTAATTCCTGTGTGTGTGTGTGCATGTGCATTTATTTTATATTCATGTTGACATGCCAATTTAACTACGGAGAATATGAGGATCTGCGGAAGATGGGGACGATAATAAGTTAACAAAAATCCCAGATCCAATCCTTATGATCATGCTCAAAAAAAAAAAAAAAATCCTCTCTTGTACTCTTTCTTATTACAGCTTTTGTTTCTTTTTGTTGTTTTAAACCTTTCTATTTAGTTGTCTTCCCTTGGTGCACTTTTATCACTGTTTCTCTTTCGAGAGCAGCAGGCTTATTTCAATGTAGAAACTTCAGATTTTAATTAGTTGCAAGTTCAATGTGACCAATCAACTTATGATGTCAAACAAACAGCGGAAAGCTCAGATTTTGGAAAGGGGTCACCCTTTTCTTGAATCTGGAAGTGGAAGCTAGTGCAGCTGGCCAGAAATCCTGTTACTTACAAATGGGTTTGAAATTATTTTTCATGCACAGAGGACCGTGCTTGGTCTATCAATGTCATGATTGCTATTATAGCACCCCTAGTCATTACTCATTAGAGACTAGATAGTTATTAGGATTTCTCCTTCTGTTAATTCCAAGGCATTATGAATCTAATGAGTCTTTCTACACACACACACTCAAATGTACCTAGATAAGCATGTAAAGTTGATTCTGCGTTGAACATTAATGCTCTTTACACCCATATGCCTAAAAAAGTTTCTGGGCTCATAAACCATATTAAGAGTGCAAGAAAGCTTGGGTAAGGCTTCTGTGATATAATTGACCAATATTGGTTGGAAGTCCATCTCATGATGTTCATTTAATAAAGTCATATCACAGATGGACTTTTAGTTCAAGATGTTACGCCAAGCAAAGCATTGGTCATATGTGAGAAATCTTTAAGGGAAGCTATGTGATTGGAAGTGGTCTTTGCCATGTGGAAAGTGGTAATAATGCTAATGCCACACTCCATAATCGTGTACATCTTTTTTTTTTTTTTTTAAATTGTTGAATCCTCCGCCACTTTAACCTTACCTAGAGCTATGAATGAGCTCTGTTTGCAGCCTGATTTTCATCAGTTTGTATATTTTTAGAAGTTTTGTAGATAATTTCTCTGATTTCAGGGGCTTCCCAGTCCTGGTTTGAAATCTGAAAGTGTTGGAATTCCCTTTGATATGAGTATCTTGTCTTTTTAATTCTGACCCAGTATGAGAGCAACTCTATGTGACTTCTGGTTAGAACTTGTGTTTTCACTTGAGTGATTTCATGATCCTTCACCTTTTGATTTTAGGTTGCTGTTCAAACATGGGTGCATATCATTTAACAAAGAAAAATTGCCAGACAAGTGCAAATTTCATTCTAGTTATAAATAATTTTGACGTCCTGCGTCAGAAGAGCAATGAGAACATGCAGTTGCCAATTCGATGGAACCTGGTGTTATAGACATTACTCACTTTTGAGATATTGTTATGTGATTTTAGATATTGTAATTCCGTAAACTTTCTTTACTAAATAATTAGTGTATAAAATATAACATTATTACTTTGATTGCAGTAATTGTTCAACTTTGGTTACTTTGCTAGCTGCTACCTCACCATATTGTTTGGTTTTAGGAGAATAGAAAAGGAGAACGTGAGAAGCTTATGAATTATTTTAGGGTCTCGTTTGGGTGATATTAAGAAGGCTCACTTGTAAGTGGGATCGATTTTGTCTTTGATGGGTTGATGATCTGGAATTGGTGAAAGAGTTTGGTGATCTGGATATGGGATCACATATATTTTTTGGCATCAATGTGGGTGTCTGTTACGAAGGAGTTTGATGACATTCTGCTTTTTTGTATTTGGCGGATTGGAAGGCCTCATGCGATACATAATTTTATGAATAGAGAACTGTATTTTTCCATTTCACAGTTGGACATCTTGTCCATCTATAGTGCTTTTTGATGTATCAATTTTTGCCATTTTAAATCAAAAAAATTGTTTTGTTTCCTATCCAAAAAAAGAAGATTAGATCTGGATTTGGTGGATGTGGCCGGAAGTTGGAATTAAGCTTTTTGATATTTCATGATATTTGGTGACTGTGGTTTTCTTTTCCTGTTATCAGTTTTTTGGCCTCAAAAGCTAGTCATTTTCATTTGTCTGGTAAGGCCTTCAGTGTCCTTTCAATTTGGGTGTGCATTGACAAAATGAGTCTTAACGAATACTGTATTTATTTACTCTGGGTGATTTTAAGAGAATGAAGAGGTTTGGCAACCCAAGCAAGGAAAGAATGTTATTACAACTTATTTGAAGAAAATGAAAAGTGTTATAGTTTGTTGTAGAATTATATGCTTCGCGTGTTCATTTATTTAAGAAATATAAGCTCTTTTTATTTACAACTTGACCCAGTTTATCATCATTGAAACAGGTGTGTTCTTCTTGGGGTGAGCTGTGGTGGAAATATGGCAGACTATGTTGCACGGAAAGCCGTTGAGTTGGGCAGTATTTTGGACCCTGTCAAGGTGGTGGCACAAGTTTTGATGTATCCATTTTTCATTGGAAGTGTTCCAACACACTCTGAGATAAAACTGGCAAATTCCTACTTCTATGACAAGGCTATGTGCATACTTGCATGGAAACTTTTTTTACCTGAGGAGGAGTTCAGCCTGGACCACCCTGCCGCCAACCCACTTGTCCCTGATAGGGGGCCACCTTTAAAGCTCATGCCTCCAACACTCACCGTTGTGGCAGAGCATGATTGGATGAGAGACCGGGCAATTGCTTATTCAGAGGAGCTCCGGAAGGTAAATGTTGATGCACCAGTTTACGAGTATAAGGATGCAGTTCATGAATTTGCAACTCTTGATATGCTCCTTAAGACCCCTCAGGCCCAGGCCTGTGCGGAGGACGTTTCCATCTGGGTAAAGAAGTATATCTCACTTCGAGGTCATGAGTTCTCTTATTAAGTAAGCTATGCAAGTTCAGAAACAGTTTCAGAAGGATCACAATATACCAGTGTTTGTGATTTACTTTTGGATGACCGTGGGAGCATCTAATTGCTATCTTTACATGGGAGTGGGGATTCGTAACACGAGGAATCAGTTTTCTATCTCCTTTAGCTTCAAGGAGGTTCCACGGTTTTCTTGTTTAATCCTTTAGCCATTCTGTTATTTTTGTAAGATAGATAACTTGCCTCTCAGTAGGATTTAGTTTAGTTGTGAGATCTTCCTCTCTGAGTTACGCATGCCACGTCGAGATGGCCTTTTTAACATTGTTTCGCTGTGTATTGAGATGTAAAATTTATAATTAAAAGAATCCAGTTGAATGAAATGTTTCTCTATTCTTTCTTTGTTTCTCTCCCCGTTTTGGTTTGGCTTTAGCTTACTCTTCCCGTGTTGGTGATAGTACGCTGTAGTTAATTTTTCGCCGTGCATATTCAGTTTGCTGCCAGCCATGGATTCTTGGTGGTCGAAGACAGGGGTAACCCTCTAGAAGGAAGGGAGAGAGCAGGGTTACTCGTCCGAAACTATCCTAGGAATTTCCATGGCTTTGAATGTGAGAACACTGTTGGATGGAAGCAAATGCATGCACTGTCCTTTTGAAAAGTTTTGTTGGTCTGCTTGAGTGGGCTACATGTCACTACAACGATGCTCTTCGCGGCAGGAGGAGAGGAGAATCGAGTTGGGGGGGGAGAATGACGTAAATATCAAGGGGCTCTGTTTGATTTTGGACTTCAACTGCTAGGAAAAATACCGTCCGAAGTGGAAAACTTTGCCCTGTACCTACTGTCTACAAACATGAAGAAGGTCCTGTAAGGATATGCCATGAACATGACTCCTTTGAGTCGCTTTCAGGCTCATTTGGTGTGGTGCTGGAACCTCGTTTAGAGATGTTTTTGTTGGTGCTCCATTTCAAATTTGAATGCTCGAGTAGAATTCCGAGGTTTGGCTATCTTGGAGGGAACATATCCGCCGGCTCGATTCTAACTTTGGTCCCCCTTTGTTTAAAGTGGAGTTTTTTCAGAAGGACTGCAGACTCCGATTTCAACTTTGACTCTGATTCTGACATAAGTCTGAGTTTGCCTTTTAATTCCAATCCCGTTAAACTCCGACACCGACACAGCTAGAGTCAAAGTCGGATTTTCGAATTCTTGCACCCTCATATTGGGGATGCTGTGACAGACAACCATTTCGTTTTCCAAAGGCCCCAAAAGAAAGAAACAAAAGCTGGACAATGACTTACGAAAACAAATGCCATAACTTGGGCATCATACGATAGTGACAAGATTGATCCATCGTAACTTGGGCATCATACGATTTTGAGCTCTCAAAAACAGTTTTTCCCATATACGATTATATATATTTATCCCTTCTTAGAACCCCACGGTGACAGGGTTTCATACTACCTTTTTTATCTCCGAATGGAAGTTTGCAGCAGATGTTACATTATCCAGGTTGCCTTCCTTATGACAGCTACATAAAACTAAAGGACAAGAAGGAGAAATTTAGACAATCGATAACATAAACAATTGATTGGACTTATATTTTTTTCATTTGATAGTACCATTAATTAGTATTATCAATAAAGAATGGATCGCTCTAGCTGTTCTTATCAACCTAGCCTCTCAAGAGTCCAAACAAATTTGTCTCCAGAGGTGTGTCATCACTTAGTACAATGTTGGTGGCAACCTTGGCTGAAAATAGCTCAGAGGGAGGAGCATGGATGGAACTATGGTGTGGCCTAGGAGCGCTATGGTCCCCCAGGTCTTCGAAAACCACACTGTTCAACAATTGATTGAAGTTTGAACAGTAACTTTTTTTTTTTTTTTTGCACTTCAGTGGGGTGACCTCCAGATTTTGAACCCTAATTCTGGCTCGTTCGGTCCCTGGGAAAGCAATGGAAAACTCCAAACTGTGGTGACTATGCTATTCTTATCAGCAGGGGTTGTAGATTTTCCATTGCTTTGAAGTTGACGATTTTACTATGTTTTCTAATGGAGACAACAGCAAAACACTTCATTGTCTTTGTAAATTTCAACCAACAAGGAAACTAAACCTTTGTATGTCATGTATAAATTGTACGTTGCTAGTAGAACTGAGTCTCAGGGCTTCAATTCATATCTTCAAAAAGCTCCTTCACCGGTTCCTTCTCTTCAGAGATGGAGCCGGGGGGGACCTTAAAGAAGTATGAAAATTGCCTACTTTGAGTTCTGATGGTACTAATGCGTATATTAATTAGATCAGTCTCAAATTAGCTAAACAAGCCCAATATTGGAAGCAATTTGAGGGAGAGAGTTCATAAGGTGACTTATTTTTTTTTTTTTTTTTTTTTGGGGGGGTTGGGGTGGTTATGGTCCTTCAACTTAGCCACCAGTAGCTCAGATTGACCCAGCTGCCTAGTCATCTTGGCAACATTGGTGCTCCACTTAAAAGGTCAAAAATATATAGTGAAGCTCAGTGCTCAAACTTTGAATTCATAAGTGTCAAGCAGTATGAACAATGGTACTCTTTGCCTTGTGATGGCTTTGGCTTCTTGAAATCAAGGGTTCAAATCCCCTCACTCTCCCCATCCCCATCCTCCAAAAAAAAAAAAAATTAGTATGAACAATTGACTAAGTTGTCATACTTCGGTGGCCTTGAAAACAAATAAGGAGCAATGGAACTCTTATCATCAGAACCTCATAAAAGGTTATTCTTCTTATGGATCAGGGTATTGGATTGATTGGAGCTCTATTGCAGGTCTTCTTACTGAGCAGAGGAATGAGGATTGGATGCTGTGCCCAATTCGACCAAGGAGCTTACTACCACACATCTGCTATGAAATTGAATAAGTTTAGGTGCCCAGCCCATCATTGATAGATTTTGAGATTTAATGTAACTGGTGGTTGGATTTATTTAAGAGCAATAGTAAATCTCATTTTATGCTATTATTATGCAACTTGTAAAAATTCCAACACCCTCCTCCCCCCAAAAAACAAACCCTACTTCAACCCCAAAAAACAAAGGGATGCCTTTATATTCTGACAAAATCACATTTCTTAGATCATAACTGTACTGAAACTTGAACTACAATATATATTTACAGTATAGAGGAAGAAGTTCAAAAATTGGGGCCAATTTAGTATAATATAGGATTTAGGATGGCTACTTCGACTTTCTTACTCACATTTGTGATTTTCAAAAGCTATCAAGAGTATAAAGGAAACCATGACACAGGCCTGCCTGTATGTGGCTCTGCCTCTCTATATTTTTGTTTTTTTGGCTCTGCCTCTATATGTTTCTAACATTTTGACCTAAATAAGTTGACCTGCCTGGAGACCATCTTCACATTCTTTAGAACGGAATTTATTTGTTGCTTTAAGATCTATGGTTAGTTTGCATTTGGGTGTTTACCACGACAATTGTGGATATAAATTTGAGCAAATAGCCTAGCAATCAGTATATGTTTCACATACCATGGATGGTGCTTCTTTTATGTACATACTTCTCCCTTGCCAAAGAGAGAGATGGTTGTACTGAATGATCAGACTACAAGAAAAACATATATTTAACAAAAGAAAACAATAAGTACTGATTAGAGTTTATTATGAAACAAAACAATCATCACATGAAGACATCAGATTACAATACACAACAGAGCCGGCAGCACCACCTCTCTGTCTGTATACCCAAAACAGAACAATGACAAACGAACAAACACAACAAAATCCCAACAAACACAGTGGAAATATGAATGAAAAGAGGAAAAAAAAAACTAATAGAGGAATGAGAAACATAATGGTACAATCAAGGCTATGGAAGCGAATATCATTGACATGAAGCAATGAGGAGAGAAGTCAGCAGCAGCAGAGTTGTGACCAGAAGGGGGCACATGAGGAGACGGTGCAGGTGAGGGTGAGAGTGTTGCCCCTTCAGATGTGCCCATCAATAGAACCATTGCAAAGATTATGCAAACTGAAGCCAATGACCTTGAAGTTGCCATTTCTGAAGAAGACAATTGATGAGGAATGTGTGACGAACTGTTAGCTTTATAGTACTGTTGAGGAGAGGTTATGACCTGGGTTGTTAACACAGGTGTCAATTGGCGAAATCTCTCTTAGTTGCCTATTATATTTTTCGCATGGCATTGGTTGGATGGCATAAAACCTAGTCAACTGCTCATCTAGAGCAGTTAGATTCCCTCAAAATCAAATTGTTTAATTCTAAGAAATTACCTAAAACAAAACTTTATTCCCCAAGAAAAAATCAGAGTTGAGAAAACAGTGAGGAATGTGTCAAAATGTGTTAAGGTGTCATTGTCATTTTTCAGACAACTATGTCATTATGGGATTTTCGACCAAGTCCATTAACAAGTTCTCTGTCAAGCTAGTACTTATGTCTCTGTATAAAGTTGTATCATTATGCAATGGTGGCCGCTTGCAAGGACTTTATCAACCTCCCATAACAAACTATATAAGGCATGCACCAAGTCTGCAACAATAATCTTTGTTTAAATCTTCCAGCATTTGAAAAAGGTCTTCCTGTTCATGGTTAGGTAAAGCTAATATTAGTTTTGACACTTAACAAATATAAATTAATTGAAGGCCAACTTGTAAACTTTGAATACGCGTTGGATCATCCTTATTTACAATTATATTACACAAGTAAACTTTTTTATTTGCATGATTGGGAGTATTGACCTACTATGCATTCACATGACTCTGTAGTCCTTTTTCAAACAACTACACCAATAATGATAATAATAATAATAATAATCCATCAGTGACATAATTTTACAAACATAAACAATCTGAGGTATCGGCTTGGCAAGTGCTATGAACTATGATCAATGCATAAGGGTCCTACAATTGAAGAATGGAGGGGTTCCTACTAATTTAAACCAGGTTGGCAGTATCCAATTTGAATCCGAGCGTGCCATCTGAGTCACGTTGAAATCAAAATTGCCAAACATGAACATCATATTCATTTTTTTGACAATACTGCCATCTGTTTTGGCATGGCTATTTAATCCAAAATTTGGAATAGTTTGTGATAAATCATAAGTGACCGAAAATAAAAGAGAACCGGGGCTCGGGGCAAGGTAGTGATTTACTCTAAACGGATTTGAAGCCTTACTACAATGTTCTCATATATGTAAAAACAAATTACTTCCTGATATATCATTGAAACTTCTCTACACAGAACTTTAGTCTCCAATGTGTACTTTGAACAACTTGAATGTTTTATGCTGGGAAAATTAACAAGATGGTAAGTATGACAGAAAGAACTGCCCCATAGTTTTCTTTTAAATTATCTGAACCAAAACAGATTGAAACATGTATGCAATTCCACCATCCTGATCTAAAAATTTAACCACTCATTGATGGAAATTTTGTTTCTAAAATGATAAATTGAAAATACAGGATTAAGTATTCAAGGGAATGCGCTTCGTGACTAGTGTGGCCCAGATTAGAGATGCAGAACAAGCCTAATTAGAGATGCAGACCAAGCCCAGACCACAATTACAGAACAACAAAAGCTCATTCACAATTGGTATGTGGTCAAACCCACTTTCTTAAGAGTTCCAATCCATCATCAACACATGTAGGAGTCTCCATCCGAGGAGAAGAAATCATGGGTACACAGTTATCAGGGACACATCGTCAACGTCGCCATATTACCTCGCCTGTTACAAAGTAGAGCGAGGGATCACTCCTCTATCACGTCACCCGTTACCAAGATAAGGTGAGATTCACGACATCACCCTGCTCCTTGTGAGAATAGCGTCTCAATTAAAGTCCCTTGGAGCCAACTTTGCTTGCTAATAATATATAAACCCTGCCTACACATTGGGGGGGGGGGGTCATCACACTCACACACATCTCAGCACACTACTCATCTCAAATAATAAAATTCTCTGGCCATGGTCATCATTTCCAATAGAGTAGGTCATTCAGACTGAACCACCTAATTTCTATGTTTGCTTGTGTTGAGCCCTCTTTACTTCATTATTAATTGATTTTGCATACACTCACTTTTGTGCATCATCACTTCCCATATTTCTCCCCAATATTTTGTATTCTTTTATACGTGCATATGAACAATATTTTCTCAAATCTTACCCTTTTTATTGATAACCAACGCTAAATAGTAAAAATAGTCTCTTACTTTTTGATCTTTACTAAGCTCATTTAGATTTCCGTTTCTGGTCAAGTTATATGTCATACATGAAGTAGTCTAAATTCCTCATCTCTTACCAAAATTTCTAAAATAATATTAATTCTTACTTTACTTTTATTTATCAAGGATGCTATATGTATATACATCTTTCCATATACTATTTTTTTTTCTTTTGCGCCAGGTTTTTCCTTTCCTCTACTTTTATGAATCAAGAAGGCCAAAAAAATAATCATCACATATCATGTCAAAAACAGAATAGAATGCACATTGAACTCAGCAGTAACTTTTTTCTTTCTGATTTCATTATCAAATATATCTACAAAAGAATTGATCAGCTAATTCATCTCACTCTAGTCTCTACATGGTATATATAACATCATTCAAAGTAACCGTCTCTCAGAAGTCACAAAAGCACACAGTTGCAGTTCCCCTTGCTTTCTTGTTCTGCTTAACCAAAAAGCCTATCTTATTGCTGATTTTCCCATGGTAACATACCTGTTTTTGTATCTGTGAACTCATGCAGTACCCTATCCTTTAAGCCAGTATCTGTCACCTCACAAAACTTGCTCGACCAGTCCGGCGGTTCAACAGCTTTCGTCCCCAGACCAGGAGCTCGATCCTTCGACCCTACGTTGACCTCTTGTTGCCAATCAGACACATAGGTAGCAACCCTCCTATAAAATTTCTCCTTGAACACTTCCCATACTTGATACTTATAATGATTCACCACCATCACATTTCTATCCATATTGACATGCCGAAAACCATCCCTGAGGTGAAAATGGTGCACCAAATTAATCAATGTGGAATTCAATGCCTCAGGCTTCACTATGCTCTTGTGCCTCTCCGGGGCACTTAGCCGACACGTATACCCGACCATCACACCTTTCACCGGGACTTGTGTGAGCCCTGATGGCCCAAAATTATGACAGGATGCTCTTAATTCAGCTACATCACTAGGCCTAGATTGGTTCATAAGGACATTATGCAATGACAAGCCTTCAGGCAGGTGAAAAAACTCATCAACATCAATAAACCCGACCCACTCACACGAGTCCCTTGCCCGTAAGGCACAATGGGCAAACCCTGCCTCTTGGGTCTTGATCCAAGGCCATACGTGCCGGCTAATATTAAAATTACCAGCCACTAATGACTCCACCACATCAGCAATACCATCGTCGCTATTGTTGTCGTAGATGAACCAGCGTTGGACCCCAATTCGGGCATGGTACATGACCCATTCACGTAAGAACCTTGCCTGATTGCGCAACATCGTACAAATGCACATCTCATGTTGTTTCCGGGCAGGCAGGTGAGGATCCATTCTATGTTCGGGTCGTGCTATAGAAGGCAATATGCCTCTACGAATCACTCTCACTGATACCTTGATAGAATCATTACTGACCCTTTGTGGGCTATTCAATATACTTAAGGGGGTTCTGCACCGTACGATCTCCTGGCCAACTGACACGACGTCAGATCTCAACAAGAACTTGATGTTGCTAAAATCCCAACCGTACACACACTCCAATCTCGATGGGTCAGAGAGTCTTCCTGGCCGTAGATTTAGGCCTTTCACGAAAACAATCGTGGTGTTGTCGCGGTCGATCATAGCTTCATAAGCCAACAAGTCCCAACGATGAGTGGGCCCAGCTGGGAGGTTACCGTTGGGTTTCACGGCGACGGACACCGTCAAGCCAGGTGACTGAACTGGACACCGTACGATCTGGTTGTTGAGATATTCATCGTCAATGGACAGGGGAGAGAGCTTTAGTCCAGGTTGGGATGAGTTGGGTGATAAATAAATACAGTCGATGTCATCTTTGGTAAATAAGGGAATCGATTGAGGGTATTTCAGGAACACCAGCACCTGGTCTGGAAATACCACCGTTTCTCGCACTGAGATCACCGGAGTAGCTGAGGACTCGCCGGAGATGACTTGCATCGCCGAACTTCCCCGTGACGATACCAGTCTCGGTTGAAACTCTTCTGTTTAAAAATTTATGAGCATAATCAATACGTAATGCCTCAATATATAGTATCTGAGATTAATCTTTCACCAAAAATCATAAAAGATTTAGTTTTTTAAAAGCATTTATAAATTGCGTAATTAAGGGGATCATGTCTCAAGATTAAGTCAGAATTTTAAGGAAAAACAGAAAACGTTATTAAACATAAACCTAAAACCAATGAAAGATTTTGCCAGATTCCAGTAAAACTAAACATAGAACTCGAGAAAAATAACACTGCCCAAAAAAAAAAAATTGTTTTTTTAAACGAATAAGAAGAAAGAAATTCAAAAGGGGTTGGTGCATAAAACCTCTTAACAACAGGCGTCGAGTGGAGAAAGTGAAGCCGGAGAAGAAGACAAGAAGGAGTGACAACCAGAAGAAACCTTTCCACGGTACCAAAGGGCCACGTTTTGTGCGATCTTTCATTGCGCTAAGGCCCACGATCTCTGTAACTACCCCAAATCCTTACAAGAACGTTCTCTACCTTGTCATTCATGAGTTTTCTCTTATATAAGCAAGTCTCTTCTGCTATTTCCTTTCAGTTCTAATCCCTAATCATTACCACGACGGAAAAGTTTTGTGAGAGAGAGGGAGAGAGAGAAAAACGGAGGATGTAGTTATCCGCTTTGATGGAGAAGAGAGAGACAGAGACGGCTACAACTACACTTGTTTTTTTATTTGCTGTGTTTTTATACCGTTCGTTCGTTGGGCTCGGTTTTATGCGGTTACTAACATAATAAAACATTCATAGACCGTTGATCTCATACATCAATTCTCTTCACAGTCCGCTACTATTATCCAGTAAATTTTAGCCACGTCAGTAAAAGTTGGGGGCAGTTAAGTCATTGTGTAATCTATGCCTTTATTGTTAATTGGTGCGTTCTTTAAAGTAGCACAAACGCCACGACCTCAGTCGTGGTGGGGTCCGTCGACCATGGACCGTGGAGCCCACTTTCTCATTTGATCCCAGGCCATTTGGAACCACTATAGCTACAATTTTTTATTTAGGCGAATTGCATTGTGACCCGAAAGTTTTAAGAATTTTTTAAATTATATTTTTAATATATTAAAGTATTATAATATAACCCACTCGTTAGTTTCCATTATACATTCCATCGAGGACAATTGAGTATAATTTTTATGAATAGAGCAATATAAACTAACAAGGGCTTACATTATAATATTTTTAATATATTAAAAATATAATATAAAAAATCTAATATTTAAGGGTTTAAAATAAAAAATTTTAAATTATCATCATCACATAATATTATTTAATAAACATTACTAATTGAAGATGTGCATTTTAATTTTTACACGAGATAATTATGACATTATATAAATTTAATAATTATTAAATTTTATAAAATCCACTTATTAATCACTTAAACATTCTAATTTTATTTTGATGATACTACATCACAGTAATGATGTGCTATCACTTTTAGATCATGACCGTGTATTTATTCATATACATGCATGTTGTCAATTAATTTCATATTAAATGATGAGATTACATTAAGATAATGACATTCTATTACCGTTATTTCATATATTTTTCCAAATGTAAGCAAATGAGCATGTTGTTGTCGGTTAATTTCATATTGAATGATAATATTACGTCATCACTCGTGCATGATAATGGTACGACATCTTATCGGTTTCACTGAATAAATTGGACCAGGACAGCAGATTGGGACCACGCCGTTTAGAGCCCGACTATATAGGGTTAGGTGTGATCATAGTCCGTAATCATGGACCATGGACCAGTCCATTGAGCCCCACCTAGGCCCAAAAGTGTCATGGCTAAGGATGAGAATGTATACAATGATGGATTGTAAGGCCGAAGAAAGGAGATTTAAATTGGAAAGGCTGATTGTGGAAACTGGTTTCTTTTTGGAGAGAAAAAACAATAAATGTGACCAAGTTAATGGCAAATGTTCTTTATTTTTATTTTTTCACCGAGTAATGTTACATAGACTTAAAAAATAGATTTGATAATCTCAACTATTGAATAGGTAGTAAGTCTCAATAAATGCTGGGACTCACAGTGAAATCAATAGTTGAAATTATCAAGTCTAATTTTTAAATCTACTTTTTAAATCCATGTAACATTACTCTTTTTCAACAGTCAAAGGTGTTCGAACTAAGTTATACGTACTTGTATTAGACCCATTGATCCAACTATCAATACTCATTTGATAAACTTTTTTTGGTAAGTATAATATTACCCTTTGACGTAAATATTTATTGTAATTGTGATATCAAATCATCGTTAATACCGATGTCATCAATTAATAATAAATTGGACTCGTGTACTTCATTATTCTAACATGGTAGTTATTAGATGTAGCGATTATCGTAGTTTTGAAAATAGTGAAAATCTACTAAATTTACATATGACGTTGATAGTATAATATCACCGTAATATTAAATATTTCATAGGAGAGAATTATTTCAAAGTGCACAGCTTTGGGAACGTCGAAGAATCATTTGCAGAAGCTGATGCTGATTTGACCACAACTTAACGGCCCAGAGAAAGTTCTAAAAAAAAAGAAATCCAAAATGAGGTAGAATAGGCCTTGACCTTTTGCACTCAAGAATGTGCTTCATCTTCTCTAGGCTTTTTTTTTTTTTCTTTCTCCCCTTCAACCTAGTTAGATGCGCACTGTTATTTGTTCATCAAGAATGGCTTTAGTATGAAAGAGGGGTGTTAATTTCACTCCTTCACAACAACATGATACAAAAGTTCTAGTTATATCTTGGCATCTTTAATGGTTTTTGTCGATTGGATAACGTTTGACTTTGACGATTTGAGATTGAGTTGGACATATCTCTGTTGAGGTTCATGGTTTATGCAAAAATATTAATATCAATTGATATTTTGAACCGCGATCGATTCATTAAAAAAAAATTACAAAAAACCCACAAAAAGGAATAGAATCTTTGATATATGTTTTTGTACAAGGGTTGGTGAAGTTGAAAAAGACTTGAAGAATCATTTGTACTATTTTATTGTTCCCATGAGTTTGGACAATTTCTGGCTGTACATTGCCAGCAGCATCCTGGAAGATGGAGTCCACGTAGGGACAATTTTGGGGTTGTTGCGAATGTCTCATTTAAATGAACGTTATATGCATGCCCCTCCGGCTTCCCATTATCAATTATATCTTCTTCTATTTTGAAGTATTCTGGTGAATTTACGTGTATTTCGATTAATTTTTTTTTCAATTTGGTTTAAGACAGATCATTTACGTCGGAACCAAAGTATTCATGAGAGAGAAATTTTTTATAGTTTAAACTCAAGAAATTATCAAAATTCAAATTCAAAATATTTAAATTTACAATTCGTCCTTGTGTTTCTATGAACTAAGTGGGACTTCAAATTCCCGGAGGACCTCCGTGTTTTATATTGTTGTCAGTTTGGTGAATTACAAGCACCTAATGCTATGACCAAAAAAAAAAAAGCACCTAATGCTATTTTCTTTTTGGATTTATCCTGTTGGTTGGTGGTATTGTCTGTCATTGCCTGTCATTGCCCAAATCCCTTGGAGAGTTGGAGGCATCGTATATATTGCAGGATGCTAAACTGCCAGAACAGAGGCCGTAGTTTCGATTATTGATTCGAAATACACTAAACCAGTTTAGTTGCGGTATCGTGAATTGACATGGGACATTTTGGTCCACTTTTGTAACCACAACTAATGAGGGCGGTTTTTAAGCTGCCGTTGAAAATTATTGTGAAAGTGAATGTGGTTAACAATTAATCAAATCGGAAAATCAAGAACAATGAACATGAGAATTTACATGGTTCAATATAATTATATTTACGTTAACCAATTTCACATTATTTAAGAATTCCAATTAGGTTACAACTTGTATATAACTAGTTGAGAACCCTAATCCTAGTCTATCATATAAACCTAATCCTCGTAAATCTGATATGCCAAATATACTCACACGACAGTTTAGGAACATATTCTAACCTTAGCAAAAAGGATGGAAATCTTTGATGGGTGAAGGGCTTAGTGAATGAGAGAGATTCACAATGTTCGATAAGAATGAAAACCGACCATTTGTCACATGGCACATTATACATGTGTTTGGACACTAAATATCAAATCTTAGGAATATTCAATCTATTAACACTTGACATCCTAAGTGTATTGAGAAAGTGTCATCTGGTAAAATTTGAAAAAGGGTAGAAGATAATCAGTCACGATCATATTTGAAAAGAAAAAAGAATAATTAACTAGAGGTTATCAATCAGTAATCGTCGATGAGAGTAAAACCGTCAAAGATTGCGACTATAAAAAGGGCATTTGGTGGAAAAAATAGATATACCCAAACCCCACGACCTGAGCATTATTAAGAGTAGTTTTAGATTATTTTTTAAGAGACAATTATTTCTGCAATCAAAGTTGTTTATTCAATCTTTTTGTAATCAAAGTCCCTTCAATTGAATTAACAAAGAAATTATCTTTCATTAGTTCCTTACAATGTGTGTTTGTTCATTATTTCTTGATGGGACTTTTCTGGAATGCTTCATGATGAAGACACGTGTCCTCGGTATTACCAGAACACTGTTGTTAAGATCAAGCACCATCGGCGCACAAAGGTCCTCGCCCCCGAGATACCCGTCATATAGGATCACGAATTTAGTATGTTTTACAACCGACACATGGCCTCGGTCTGATATGGCACCTCGGTCGGCGTACCTCCCTCGGTACCGAGATGAGCCTTTCCTCGGTGCCGAGAGGTACCCCGTCCTGGACGCTTCCTCTACTCCAGGATAAGCTATTGACGTACAGGTCATTAGCCTAGGCTAGTCTAGGCTATTCATCATGACCTCGTCTTACACAATTAGTGTCAGAATGTACTGGAATGCAGGGGTCACAGCCAATAAGGGATGGACACGTGGCATATGATATCACATCGAAGACAGAGAAACCGCATGTCGTTGCTGACACGCCACTTGGAAAAGCAAACTATTAATTACACCATTCCCTTGATGAGACCGCATTCAATGCGGTAAGACTCGGAAATGAAAGGCAATAAATGCTCCTAATACAGAGCATTTATTGCATCCTCCCCGAGAGGAGTACAATGTACCGTCAGCATCCCGATGACCCAGCATTGATTGCTCGGGGACCCCGAGCAGTTAAGAAGAGAAGACATTCCTCATCAGAATCAGTGCGCACACTGCTCTGTACCTAATGATCACCTACTGACTACACTGACAGCAATCATGAGCTTTTGAGGTATAAATACTCCTTGCAAAAGGCAAGACGGGTATGCAACAACAAACTCTTTACTACAATACTCACTCAGTGTTTTCTCCTTCCTCTCTCTCTCTCAAAGACTGACTAGATCATCGGAGGGGATACGCCAGAAAACACTCCGGCGCCCTTCTAACTTGTTCTTTTTTATTCCAGGAACCTATTTCAGCCTTACTGGATCGTTCTTCCGTTCCCAGGGTCTCCCGTTGCCGTTCCAGGTTACCACCGGACCTCGCAGGCTGTTCCAAACAGCGTGGTTGGTCACTCAACGGGCTCACTCGAAGTTCACCAAGGGAGAGATCTGTTCTCGTTTTTTTATATTGTGCAGGATCTGTTCTCATTGAAGAAAGTTCTAAAATAAGACATTTGCACTCTTTATCAATAGTCAGCTGAAAATTGTCTATCAATTAGGATATTTATGTCTATTCCAACAAATTTTAGAGCAACAATATTGTGCGCGGTGATTTTCGCACAATAAAAGAAAAAGACAGATCTATCCTTTGGTGAACACGAGATTTACTTGAAAGTCGAGGATCCCGAAAAAAATAGAGACGAGAAACAGTATAAAGAGTGGTGATGAATTACTTGTTTAGCTGTTCACGCCATTCCCGCTTGTCAAGAAGGATTCTACCACTCAAAAAAGAAAGTTAGAAGGGCGCCAGAGTATTTTTTGGCGTGACCCCTCAGACGATCAAGTCAATATGTGAGAGAGGGGAGGGAAAAACAATGTTCTATTGTTTGAATCTAATTTTTTTGTGTACCTTTACTTTGAATTTTAGAGAGTTATTTATACCTTCATGAAGATAATAATTGCTGGCAAGTGAGCCCTTTGAAGAAGAAGCTCCTCATTGGTCCATTTGGAAGGCAATGAGTGGTGCTCAGTCCTTGAACAGAACACCTTTCATTTTGCTTGGAAGAGGCTTAGGCATTAATTGCTCGAGCTTTCGAGCACTTAACGCTCTTTCTTTTGGACTTTCAGAGCATTAACTACATCTAATCCTTCTGAGGAATCATTAAATGATTTTCTGTGATGGTTGCGCACGAGAAGGGGCATATTTTTCTTTTGGCCCCTAATTCTGTGCTATTTGCCACATGTAACATAGTCATTGGGTGCGCACAAATAGAGACATCTTTGTCTTTTTGCCCTTGATTTTGTGCTCTTTACCACATGTAACTTAGTTATTGGGTGCGCACGAGTAGGGACATCTTTGTCTTTTAACCCCTAATTATGTGCTCTTTGTCACGTGTAACATAGTCATTGTGTGTGGGTATGTCCCCTATGCCATTTTGATTGCTTTGGGAAGGAAAGTCAATGATTATTGACTAAGTTTAACTCCAAATAACGATAACCATCATTCTGACATCTCTGCCTCGAAGTCCTAGAGCCGAGATGATGTGTTTGGAAATAGACTTTGGGGGAGCAATGACGCCGACGACACGTGTCATAATTTGAGCATTCCGAGGGAACGTATGTCGAGGACACGTGTCACTCGCAAATGACGTTGAGGGAACATTGGTGCCGGGGACACGTGTCTATCGCAAGTGGGTCCGAAGAACCTTTTGTGCCGAGGACACATGTCTCAATAACAATGCTCCAAGGGAATGGATGTCGAGAACACGTGTCAACTTTTGGAATTTTCACGTGTCTAACGCCAAGGACACGTATCAACTGCTTGCTGATTCTTTGAAGTATCCCATCAAATATGCAATTGAATAAATAGGATATATGGATTTATTCCTCAGAGCACAGTTGCAAACTGAGGAAGGCTTTAAGATTGTTCCATGTAGTTCTAACGTGGGGCGATGATACATAAATCTAAACCAATGTGTGCTTGCACATTTTGACATTTTTTGATCATACGACATTTAATTAATTATGTCTAATTAATAAATCACATCAAGATAGTTCCTTTAGATAAAACTATATTGACAAGATCTCATGAAAATCTCAAGATAGTATTTTCCCAAACAAAACACCCGATGTTTTTGCATATGTTGAATGTACCTTGAATAAACTAAAAGGGAATATTCCAACTTTCATGCATGACAATTGTATGCATGAACCAATCGCTGTACTTGTATTTGCTTTGAAAAACTATATATGTATCAATGATCTTCGAGAGATTATGAATCCCCTCTAATATGAAAATTATCTACTTCTTTACAGCTATTTGATCAAAGTCCATATTGATCTAGTCAGTCTCGTAACATCATTGTTCAATAAAAAAAATTATAAGTGGGCAAAACGTACCACATTATTCTAATAAGTATTGATAACCACCGCTTTCAATGCTCAACATATTAGATTAACTACTGAGATTCACTTTGTATACTTTTAATTTTCATATTATAGGAAGAAATTACGTAATAATAATGATATAATCCGACCGTTAAATTCAATATTTGATCGCTTATAACAACACCAGAAAGAAAGTCAGTGAGTCTGCCAAAACAATCGGTGGCATCAATTGATCAGTCTAATCAAACCACATGAACTGCTGTTTTGTAGTGATGGTTAACTTACCCGCTGTACTTTTCATTTGGGATTGACAAATATAGATTTTTTTTTTTGGTTTTATGATTGATAATGAGGATGAATCATAAATTTATATGTTTTAAATTTAAATTTTTTTGGGTCAAACTACGATAAATTTATCCTTCATAAATATTTTAGTCTCGGCGTGAATGACTTGCCTTTGACCAAATCAAAAAGAGAATTAATAGAGATGCGTATAAACTAATTTAGACACCCTGACCATTAAAAAACAAAATAAATAAATCAATATAGTGAGTTCTTCCCAGAATTTGGTCTCCCCGCGGTCAAAAATACATGTCTTGGATTAACTGCACAGAATCTCCCCTTTTGCATATGAATGAATTTGAATAGGAATTATGAACCACATACATATTAGGGCCATAGTATTTTAAATAATCCGAGTAGCTTAGATTCAGTTTACAAAATGAATCGAATGTAATTAAATCTGATAGTTGTTGTATAGAGGGGAAGAATCTCAACGACGTGGCTTGAGTATTTTGTGATACAATTTTTGAATTTTTTACCAAGAAATCGAGTCTTTTTTAACGTTTTTTTAATTCAAATGCTTGAGCAAGAATTTAAACTTGATAATCAAGCATAGCTCGACTAGTCCCAACTAAATCGAGTTTCGCTTTCTCAAACTTGACAACCTTAGCTAGATGTTAACTGCACCCAGTGGCACCTTCCTTTCTATGATTGATGAAAAATAGTTACCTCCAACGACAAAACTGGCCAGCTTTGAAGGGACCAAGGAATCCTATCAATCTGATTTTTTTATTTTTTCAGTCTTACCCGAAAAAAAACCCAATGAGGAAGACTTTGGTTGCAAAAAGCAAAGAATTTGTCAACCAAGAAGACCCACATCTGTTGCCCTCTTTCTATCAAACAAGACTTTGTCCATTGTCTTCACTAAGGTGGTGGCCATTTTAATAATTACAAACACTCCATGCTTTTTTAGGTCAGCCACTCTATATGCTTTTTCATACAATCATTCATCTCCCCCTTAAACATCACTTCTCTCTCTCTCTGTTTGTGCTCATGGCTGATCTGGCAGAATATTTGCTCAGTTTATAAACTCACTTTCAATGCAACCCTTTGGATTCATTCTGTCTCAGAACCCACAACGTGGTTTTTTTCTTCCTAGCTCCTTCCTAGAGTAAAATGGGAAGACAACCTTGTTGTGATAAAGTAGGGTTGAAGAGAGGTCCGTGGACTATTGATGAAGATCACAAGCTCATGAATTTTATCCTCAACAATGGCATCCAATGCTGGAGAATGGTCCCCAAACTTGCAGGTTTTCGTCTTCAAAAACCTTCTTTTTTATACATTTTCTTACACACACACACACGTTAATGGTTGCACATATTAGTTAAAATGATGGTGTTTGGTTTCTTATGAAGGCTTGCTGAGATGTGGAAAGAGTTGCCGATTAAGATGGATTAATTACTTGCGGCCTGATCTTAAAAGAGGGGCTCTATCAGAATCAGAAGAAAATCAAATCATACAACTTCATGCCCGTCTTGGAAACAGGTTTCTGCTGGCAAACTTTTACTAACTTTATTACTAATTAGGGGCAGCCCAGAACACGAGACATTTGTTATATATTAAGCTTTTAAGCAATGTTGTCTTATCAACGGAGTGCTGTGTAAATGGTAATACTAATGTATCTACATTTTTTTTTTGCAGGTGGTCTAAGATTGCCTCACATTTTCCGGGACGCACAGACAATGAAATCAAGAACCACTGGAACACTAGAATCAAGAAGAGGATAAAGTTCAATGGTTTAGACCCCTTGACTCACTTGCCTGTCGAGCAAGAAGAAAAAATTGAAGACAAAATTGAGACAATTCCAGAGTCTAATTTGCAAAAAGAAGAAGAAAACGAGACCTTGGATGTTACAGCTACTGTTAATAACAAAGCTAAAAGAGATGATCCAGAAATGGATGAAAAAGAAAAAGAAGTTAACACGAACTCTGATGAAACAAATGAACTGCTGAAGAATTATGAAATGTTGTGTGGAAGCTTGGATGTAGACTTATGGATAGACCAAGAAGACAACACATTCAATACTTGCAGCCCTTCATTTTCTCGGGAAGATTCTCTCAATCCTTCAATAGGTGAATCATCCACAGCCAAAGAAGACTCTCTGCAACAATGGGGGTTTGACAGTGTCTATTCAATGCTTTCTTGGGATGGTTTCAATGCACTAGAACAAGAGCTCTTCCTTATGGAAAACAGCCAATGAGTCTACCCTCTCTCGTCTCTCTCATTGTCTTTAATTAGTTTCGTTGGTAACTCGAGCAATAAAAGAACTTAAAACAGTTTGGCCAGATTATTGTGATGGAGTACTTCTACTTCAACTGATCAACTTTCTTCTTGCTGTCATTTGATTGTCTTTACCTTCTTGCTTTGTTATCAATATTCCCAATTGCATTTTATTTTCATGGATGAAAATGATTTGATCATTGTTTTTATTTTTCTAGCTTATTGATCAAGCTCGCCAGATACCACTAGTAGAACTCATATATTTAATTCATGGCACTAGGATTAATGAGGTCAGTTGTTTGTTCTTGGCCTCTCTCCCTCTCTCCCCTGTCATTTTTAGGGTTCCTAATTTTTAAACCCATCTGCAAGTTTGAAATAAAATTGATATGAAATTATTAGATATGAATTTAGTCTTAAGATATTAGGATCATGATCTAGTTAATTGGTGAGACGTGTTCAATAAATGAGTTGCCACCAACAAGACTGGACGCCTAACAAAAACTAGACTATGTATTGGGTAGTTATAAATAAGTCTAGTATGTGTCGATTACTAGATTTCAATGCGACCCACCACAACTTGGCTTGGAAATGACATGAACCACTCAAAATTATGACAGGCTTCGAAGTTTCAATGATCATTCGAAGCCTCCAAAGGGCAGTTTTTGGTTTCAGTGCTGGAAGTGGCGTAAAATAGAGGTCTTTAAGGACACAAATGGAACTGAATTTCTAGGGCAATCAACATTGAAATAGTTTAACATAAAAACATATGGGTAAGATATTCATTAGTTTTTTTTTTTGGGACGTTTAAGTTTGCGTCGATTACTTCCTGAATTCGAATACTAACGACCATAATTCGAGTGGGTTAAAAACAAGTCTCCTAAGGAACAAAAGTGATTGGCCTTTAGTGAACATACAAAGTGTTAAATCTAAGTCTTTTAAATTATTTAAAACTAAGTTCATTCACTGAACCACCCAAATTTATTTATTAGTTTAATAACCAATCATCTTTATTATATAATGTTCGTGCTCCCAACTAAAATTTAAATTCATAGGTAAGAGCTGTTGGTTTATTGTGCTGGTGCATTAAAAGGAATCTTCTTCATGTATCATCATATGTATATATATATATATGGAACCCCACTAAGTTCTCATCTCAATGTTCTACGAGTCAATCCCACTATTCCGGTCGCCTCTCCCATCCCTATCATTTACGTAAATCATATGTATTAATTTTATTTGTATCGTTTCAAATTTAACGGATGTATTCAAAAAGACATTGTCAAAAATTATAAATCAATGTCGATGACATAAAGTTTTCTATATTTAACTTGCCTAAAGGAAAATAATTTTTAAATTTAATTGATGTATCATCTGGTAATGTCTTTTTATTTAATACATTTATTAAAAGAATTTCTTCAAAAAAATAAAACACATTTAATTATTTTTTTGTAGATATAATATAGATGTATCGTAGTATATAACATATGGGACTTTTACTGTGAGACCCAATCACGCATTGCAGGCATATTAATATAATTTTGTGGTTTAAATTATAATTATGTAAAATTATTAAAGGGTTAATTAAATTAAATCTTTCATAGACATGATGTATGTGAGCATACATTGGATAGGTGGACTCCGTTAGTAATATATTTGTAAGACTCATGTATAGGAATTTTATGTATGAAAATACTAGTGGGTCAATTTCGAAATCATTTAAACACTTGGGGGGAGGCAAGGGTAATTGATCCATGACCTTTACATGTGTTGGCTTTAAAAAAAAAAAAACAAAACAAGCCTGCCGTGTGTGTATGTGTGCCTGCCGTGTGTATGTGTGTGTGTTTAAAGGTGTCAAGTGTGTGTGTTTAACATATTAAAAAGTGTGCGCGCGCGTCTGATGGAGTTCGGAGGCCGAGAGTGAGCAGAGCAAGAGAGGAAAAAAGGGGAAAAAAAACAAAGAGACTAGAAGACGCCGAGAAAAAAAATATATGTATGTGGGACTATTTGAGCCGTAAGCAAGGAATATATGTGTGACTCAATTTAAGCGTACGTTGTGATTAATTTTAATATATATGTTGTGGTCTATTTTAACATATTTTAATGAATAGGCTATTTTAATTTAAATTTGAATTTAATTAAGTGTATTACACATAATTAGTTAATTAGTAGACTATCTTGTGTACAAATGATGGACTGTTTTACTTTATGATCAAAACAAATTTTTTTAGAGTTTAATTAAGCGAATTGAGTCCACTTAAGGGGCTGTTAAAATGGGGTGTAATGGGTGTTCAATTCGGGTATAAGGAAAAAGGAAAAAAAATGTGAAAAATAAATATCGAGAAGAATTTAGCGAGCTAGGTGGAAAACGAAAATTATGGAAATGAAATGAGTGGTTTAAAGGGCCAATTAGGGGTTGTTGTGCATTGATTAAATGGGTATGTTAATTTAAGTGTAACGGTTTTAAATAAAAAGTGCGATAGAAGTGGGAAACGGATGCCGATAACGCCGAAACCCTAATTTCTAAATGTTATTATCACATGTATAGATTTTAATCCAAATAACCTGAAATTTTGCATGCAGCATTTTAAAATGATACTTGATATGATAATGTGACTTTCGAATGCAAATTAGTATAATATCCAGTGCAAAATGTATGAAATGTCGAAAGTGCAATTTTTAGAATTCGGGGTCGAAATGTGTGAAAATGGGCCCCCGGTCAATGTGTTTGACCTACTAAATCCTAATTATGATTAATGTGAGTGATTTTAGAAATTGGGGAGGAAATGTGATCCCTAGAACAAAAGTGCTAATGTGTGAGTAGACAGTGCGGTAACCGGAGTTACCGGGACACTTTGAGGTGCATCATTTGCATGCATTAGTGCATGATTAATTATTAAATGTAATAAATATATTGATATTGATATTGTAATTGTAATTGTAATTGTGTTAAGTGAAACGAGTGAAACAATTGGTGATGAAACATATACGATAACACCGAAAGGATCCATTGATAGGACCGAAGGGTCGTAGATTTGTACATCTGACGTGGGTGTATATATTTATATGTTTTAAAAATACTATTATCAGATGATAGTAAATGATAGAATTTAATAGCAATTCTCCAAGATTATGCACTACATGCTTATGTGATTGAATGATGTTTTGTACTATGTATTGTGAAATATGACGCACTGTTTGAGACAGGGGTGTCGATGCCTGATCACTAGGCGTTCAGTTATGTGCTAGCACTGTGGTGTTCTTGGGAGGTTCGGGGGATATGGTTCCATGTGGGATCGATTACCCAATGAGAGATAGTGTGGATGTGATGTGGCTTGTGAATTCTTTGAAATTGGATTGATGTTGTTATTTGATACGTATATCTATGTACTATCTATTTATTTCAGTATATTAGTATCATTTTCATTTCATATATTGTATGTATACTCACTGAGCGCATGGTTTAGCTCATACTGCTACAGTTTCTTCTTTCAGGTACTATTGAGGAGGATGCAGACCGGTCCACTGTCTAGTTGATTGAGTCTTGTGCGACGTTACTATGATACCACTCAGGTTGAGTGTCGGTATGACTAACTGTTAGGCTGTGTATTATATTTATGAGAGATATTTATGGCAGGTTAATAGTATATATTTGTAAATAGACTCAGCAAGCATATTTTGTGATGTATGCTATTTGGGTGTGAGATTTTTTTTATATGTCTATAACATAGGAATTAAATGATTGGTGCAGGTGTTTATATATAGTACAGGTTATCAGACAGATATTACCATCATATTTAATAACTAAGGTGATGAGTGTTGTTGTTGCACCTGTAGGATTATATCATGTTTGATTAGTCCAACTTATAATAATTGTTCACAGGTATATGTAAAACCTAGTCACACCTCATATATATATACAAATTTACTTATTTTTAGAAGAGAGACTTGAACCCTTAACCTCAAGAAGACTAAACCATATTATGAATTGGTCGGCATGTAATTGGAGAAACCAATCTCAATTTCCACTGTGTTTCCTTAGGGGAGTAATCTAATACTCTACTAGCTAGCTTGTTTTTCTATTAGGTGCATTTGTATGTGAATACCTCACTACTTTTGTCATTAGTACAAACTTTAAGAGAGTCCTACGAGGGACTACAACTCACTCCACTTGGAAGGACAGCTAAACTATTCGTTTTTAAGCATATAAAAGTAGACTACAAATCATACATTATACTATTGCGACCACCTTCCCCGAAATTATGTTCCACCTAAACGTAACTAAAAAAAATTGCATATAATTACACAACAACGTTCCTTTCTTATATAATTTTGATTGATGAATAAGCGATTCAGTTGGTAATGATAGGAGGTTGGTGAACGTGGCTGTTGTCGTCTATTTATTCCCAAATTTCGTCATCAAGAAAGCTAATGATAAGCATTATGAACAGGTGATGTTACTGTAATATAATCATTATTATGTAAAGATGAAGCCCTATAATAAAGTAGATTAACTAGGACTAAACTGTACTTAGGGCTTTGAAGTAAGCAAACACATCTTTGAAACAGAATATTAGAAAGAAAGTTCCATCAAGAATCTAAAGACACAGGCCCACTTCTTTGTGTGTGTGTTTGTTGGGTGGGGATTAATTGGGGCCACTAATTTGAAAACTAGTGATGGGGGAAGAGTAGGAGAGTTATGGGAATGGAAACAAATAATAAATAAATAAATAATGAGGAGCCATATGTAATTATGAATAGTGTGGTGATTAAGATGGAAGAGAAGAGGGTTATTATATATATATATATATATATATATTTTAAATGTGGACACGGTCAACTAAGAGTGAATAATTAGAATTGACTAAAGAAGTTAAAGGGGAATAATCTTATCTTAAGAATAGGTTAAATAGACGTGAACGAGTTGATCGACTTGCTAATCGGCTTGACCTCTTTTCATTGGTAAATCACTCTTTGTCGTTT